TATGGATTATATGGATAGAAAGAGGGGACACTTTTTGGTAGCGTATAGTTTAAGGTAAATAATCATCCAAACGGTACAATTAATATATTGATATTAATATTATTATTTCCTCTACTTGTAGGCCTATCAGAAATAAGAAGCTTGCAGAACAGTGGAAGCTTTTACTTTGAAAGAGGTGACTCCTCCTACCCCTCCTGAGGATGGCAGGAGGGGCACTTTCTTAAAGGCGTAACTGTTTTTCGCAAAACACCGTGTGCTCTTAAAATCCGGAACTCGTGATCATCCACAGTGGTAGTTTACTCGCACCAGTGGGCTTTAACGGCAAACCGCAGCCGGCTCCACACATCGCGGAGGTATTATGCTCTTCAGGCTATGATATATCAGGAGTCATGGCGGGTTGGCACCGGGTAACTGCCTTCTGTGTCGGGCTTTTATTAATGCTGTTGTCGGCACCCAGCTCCGAGAAACCGGCGGGGAAATGTCTCGGCGAAAAGCCTCGTCCATCCCCAAAACCCCCGGTCGTCCTCAGTAAGTGTTTCCTTCATCAATTTATTCCTTAGTTTGTCTTCTGTTGCCAAATAGTTGCACAACTTGCTGTCGTCCGTCAGTTAGCTAATCGGCAGCTGGCGATTTCGAAAGGAGACCAAACTCCATTTAAAGGGGGTCAAATTTAAGTTCTCCTGATGTTTATCAGCCATCATGTTAACTTAAAAATAATTCTGTATTTATCATATTACTACTTGGCAAGTCTTCAATTCGGCTTCAACATATTACACATAAGTCAATTCATTTTGAACTTTTGTAAATGTTTGGCCTGTTGTTGTGGTTGTCATCAGCTGCCAAAACAGAGAAATCCTCGTGTGTGCATCTCGGTGTTCAAGACTCTCTTATGATCAGATAATATGACGTTTCATTATTTTAGCTGTGCTGTATCAAAATAAACTCTAAAACACGTTCCCACAATAAATGCAGAGTTAAAATTTGCTTTCAAGCGAGGCGTCCTTAAATTGTTGGCTTCTTGAACGAGGGTTGGTCCGATTTACATAAGAAATAAGAAATAGGCTATCTTCATCTATCTGAAAACAAAAAAAGACATATAGCTGTACTGCTGTGGACAAGTCTGACTGATTAACGTTATTTGAGGAAAGATTTAAACCTGCCAGCTGTGTCTGTGCCTGTGTTAAAGGGTAATCGTTTACAGCTCAGCCATCAGGTCATATGACAGAACGCGACTCTTCAGCTCAACAGCCAATCAGCTCCTCCAGACGCTGAGGGAGTCTCTCCTCATACCTTTCTGGGCCATGTAACCTTTAGGAGTGACTTTAAAATAAATAAGAATAAAAAACGAAATGGGTTTTACCTCAAAATCTCATTTTTCATTTCATGTTTTATACTTGTTTGGCTGTACTGTAGACTTTTCTTTTTTTTTTTATACAGCTTACAGAATGAAAAGCACAGGTGTAGTGACTTGTTTTATTCAGCTCAAACCTTCCCTGACTTCTGAATGTAAGCATAGCTTGTTAAGAGTTATAATTACACCTGTACACATTACAAGTACTATGTCCGGCATTAAAAATGCCATAGCTGACAGACAGGTAGGAGTATATTAGAAAGAAAAAAAGAGCGTAGTGGAAAAAGGAGAAAGATGAGGATAAGGGACAAAGCGCCAACTGCTGCATTTTTTGATTTAAAAACACAAACGGCACTTGAAAGAGAGAAGGGGAAAAATAAAAATAGATATGATCGTGTGAGTGTCACGAAACACATTTTATGAGGAAGAGAAAAAAACCACAATGCCAGAGGCAGAGAGGCCCAGGAGACCCGGGCCATTTGTCCCACCCTCCTCGCCCTGATGCCAAGGGGCAAGAGCCCCACACTATCGGAGGTAACTGGGAGTTGACTCCTCCAGAGGCCGGCCATGCCGTCATGAGCTGATGACGATCCCAAGGACGAGTGATTTTCAAGACACATCTGTATCTGCAGCCTCTGGCGCCCCAGTAGTTCTTGTTCGGATTTTTGTCAGAAGGGAATTTTTGCTACATATTACAGTTTCACACAATCACTCAGCTTTGCTGTTTCTGATTCAGATTCTGTGCTAATTTGAAGTAGTCCCAGTTTCTGTGTGGTTTACAAAATCACTTAATGCAAGCACCATATTGGTTTTTTGGGGACTTCTCCTGACAGATCATGTGTCCTACACGACAGCTGCTGACATCTGGCTGAAGCCATGAATTGTTTTTGTTTTTTTGGGGTTTTTTTTGCAACTCTGTGTTTAGATTTTATATTTCCTCATTTATTTAACCAGTGGGTCATCCGCCTTGGTCAGTTGTGGCTTGCTTCACACAAACTGCAGTTTTCCCCCTTAACGTCCACCCGTGTGGAACCTGTGTGCGGAAACTGAGCGTCCCTTTGACAGAAGTCTTTAAAGGATTTATTTGTATTCTACTTCATGGACTAAAATAAAAGTACAGTTCACATGGTGTCCACCTATAGTTTTGATTAAAGTGTCACTGGGGAAGTTCTGGGAAGGTTTTTGGAGTATGGGAACAGTAATACAAACTCCTCAACTGCTTCAGACCAAAGGCTGAATTGCAGCTGAATGTCTAAAGCATGTTTTTAAAATGATTGTACAGTCAGATGTGCTGCATGCATGATGAGACTGACTACTCTGCTGGATCCATGGCTTCTTAACCGATACATAATGGCAGATTAAATTTCTGCAGTTCATCCACTCCTCTGCTGGCTTCTTGGGATTTAGAGTAATTTGCACAGCTTCTATATGGTTACATAAGTGCATGTTAATAGTCTAAAGGCTAAGTGCTGATCAATGTCCCTGATAAGTGAATCATTGCTAATGTTGCTCATTGCAGTTCCAGGAGATCTGGGAAACCAGCTGGAAGCGATGCTGGACAAACCCACTGTGGTCCATTACATCTGCTACAAGAAGACTGACACATACTTCACACTGTGGCTCAACCTGGAGCTGCTGGTGCCTGTAGCCATAGACTGCTGGATAGACAACATTAGGTGGGTGTCGGTGCCTGAATTTGTCACGTGAAGAAGAGAAAAGTGCTGTTTGTCAGTCACTGAATTAATTACCATTAACCAAGTTGCCCCTTTTTACATTACTAGCTTTTATTGTTGTTTGTCTTCATTGATTGTAAAAAAATATAAAATCTTAATGTGCTGTTTTTTGGTGGAGAAATGCTAAGGTGCCAATACCTGGATAAGATAGTCCTCCCCTTTATCAACAAGGTCTAGAGGATAACAAAGTGCAATCTGCTCAAAGATATCAGGAATTGAGTAAACCTGTACTTTAGTACAGTCATAAGAATGATAAAGTAAAACATCTGGAGAGAGACGTGTAAGACAAATTCTTACTTTAGTCCTACTTTGAACTCGGATTGACTAATCTGGGTTGACTAAATCGATCATGGAAATTTTAACCTGACTTTCTTTGCGCTGCAATTTATTTTCACAAAGTATGAGCTTTTATTTTGAAATCAAAGCAATGGGAATAGATCGGTTCTCACGTGACTGAATGATTTTTCTGCAAGCAGCACATTTGTACTGCAGCTTGACCAGGTTACCAGGTTTTCAAGGGGTGACTGTATCCCATTATTGTGGCTCTGTGGCTTCAGATCATGCCAATACCACTTTGCATCTCTGCTGTAGAGATCCCTGGAAAAGAAGTGCTTATATTTGCCAATGTTGTTAGTGATCTTCACTTACTGTCATTTCAGTTTTGTTGGAAAAGTCCTTATTTACCCACATTTCTACAAAGGGATGGAAACTGCTGAAGGAGTCAGTCCTACAGACACATAACAGAATTATTAACTGGAAATACCCAAACGTAAAATGTTAGTTTGGGTTACAGCAGGGTACCTCCACTTGTTGCCTCTATAGTACAATGTAATGGCAGATTTCACTCGAATAAGGAACATGACCAAATGTAGCTATAGCGTTTAAAGCTTGGCATGTTCTCAGATGCTCATTTCTGCTTTTCATACCAAACATCTTTACTTTCATCTGCGTTGTATATCTACAAACCGCACATGTGGAAGTTGTTGTCACACATAAATAACAAGAAGGTGGAATAACGGAGACTTAAAACGAGAAGTGTTTCTGTTGCCTTGTAAAGGGCGCGCGTGTGTGTCTTTGGTTGACCACAGATGCAGAACTGAGATAAATTGAATATTGCAAACTTGTATGTGCAGGCTGATCTACAACCAGACCACACACACCACCTCTTCCCCACCAGGTGTGGACATCCGCGTCCCTGGGTTCGGGAAGACCTTCTCAGTGGAGTACCTGGATCCAAGCAAACGCAGTGTGGGTGGGTTAAATGGCCACATTTTTAACTGATGTCCTCTCACTGTGACCAGATCAAATTTACCCTGATACCATATTTAATGCTTAATGTTTTCTCGTGTGTGTGTGTGTGTTGCAGGAATGTATTTCTTCAGTATAGTGCAGGCACTGGTAGACTGGGGTTACACCAGAGATGATGATGTGAGAGGAGCACCCTATGATTGGAGGAAAGCGCCCAGTAAGCTACCACACTTGAAAAACCAGGCCAGAAGTGGTGCATATTTAAATAAAATAAAAAATCACAAAACTGTCGAGGGTAACAGGTGTATTTCATATATTTACCAGAACTGCTTTGCTCCAGTTCCCCTTTCAAAAGTTGATTCTTCTAGACCAGAAACCTCTTGAGTTTTGGTTTCCAGCAGTTGTGAAGATAATGATGGGGATTAAAATTATTAGTTGTATATTTTCTGCCCTCAAACGGGGTCAAATTTCCTTAAACATCCATGCCCAAAGTGCTTGAAGTGAGCGTGTCATGCAAACCGACGTCCACTGTTTATTTTTGAGCAGGTGTCTTTAAAAAAGATCCCTCCTTTCTAACTTTCCTCCATAGACCACTTTGTGGTTGTTGCCCATTGTGATATAAGAACAGGTCAAGCATTCACCTCGGCTCGACTGGCGCTCTCGAATTTCCAAATTGGAAACTGCAGTCTGCCTTCTTATATTCTAAGTCTAACTGTACCAGAATGGAGTGAAGCCACCACCAGCTCATTTGTATTTCAGTCCACAGTCTGTTAGAAACAACGCAGTTCAGGCGTGATGACCTGTGGTATCTTGGACATGTGATATTTCAACTAGCTTATTACACAAGCATTAAAGATCTATATGCAGCCAGCTGTTTTGCAGCAGCACATGAGTGACTCCTCAATATTTGGTTGGCCGGGACTTTCCTTAGTTTTCTAATAAACTAGTCTTATGAGGTGATTGCATAACTCTTGACATGCATGTCTTTACTGGAACAGAAGGACATATAAAGCACAGTAGCCAGTATTTTGAAGAACATGTTCGTGCTATAAAGCAGCTGACACATTTGTCATGCACTGCATTTCTGCTTTCATGCCCTGAGCATAAAAAGGAAGGTTTAAGTCTTCCATGATGGCTTTGTCTCTTGAAAAAGTAGACTTGTGTAGAAATGGATGTGAGAAAATTGATTAAACCGTGAGGGCTGACTGGGTTTTCTTGAGTGTTCTTCTCATACTAAAGATTTGCCATCTAGTTTTATTTGTTTGACAGTCGTGAATGTCATAACGTTTTGTGTGTGTCATCATCTGCTCTCATGTCTTCGTCAGATGAGAATAAAGATTATTTCTTGGCGCTGCAAAAGATGATTGAAGAGATGGTGGAGAAGGCTGGAGAGCCCGTGGTGCTCATCGCGCACAGCATGGGCAACCTGTACACTCTGTACTTCCTCAACCAGCAGCCACAGGCTTGGAAAGATCGGTACATCAAGGCTTTCGTCTCTCTCGGAGCGCCGTGGGCCGGCGTAGTGAAGACCTTACGTGTGGTCATCTCTGGTAAGAGACTAACCAGCATTACAAAAAAAGTACTGATATACATGTTGTTGACTGCCTGGCATAGTCACAAACTCTGTACCTCGGCACCAGAATACTGTGAACAGAACATTTTTTGGAAGACATGCTTTTAAAAAAAAAAAAAAAGTCATAATTTGCTTATTTGTGCATAAAATTAAAACGGTTAATGTAATGTAGAGAGGTTGTTCAACCAGCTCACAGTTTGCCACTAAAGATGAAACATTTACTGATGGGAATATTCAGACATATTAGATATACTTGGCTCTATATTTAGATATGTTACTGTAACAACTGTCCTGCTAATTGAGCTACAGCTACTAGCCCTGACATTAGCTTCCTCATTCATAGTTAGTTCTATGCAAAATATATCGTATGTATAATTAATGCTGAACTGTAGCATCTTAATCGCAATTATCAGACATTTGCTGCTTTAATTGGCCAAAGATTCAGACTGAGAATCCCAGCTGAGCACCAAATTGAGGGCCCTCAAAACTACATCAGCAAAATGTAGTTTGACTGGTTTCTTTCTAATTGCAGATGCAGTCTTCAAATTAAAAATGTGTGGAACATGAAGATGAAAAACATCTTTGCATGCTAATCTAGAAGTTTTTTGCATTTTTGGAAATGCAATGATCAGCTAGAAAAATATTAGTTAAGTCCATCTTTGTGTAATCTTCATACACTAAAACATTTTTTGTCAAATAAATGTCTGGTTTTACAAAGGATATTAGGCTGCAACTGAATTTTACAGGCCAGTGTATTGGTTTATTAATGTCAGACCAAATCTATAATCCACACCGGAGTTTACAGGAACTTAAAATTCTCTGCGACAGCAGTCTTCCACTTTTTGCTCTCTGCTAGCCTACTCGAGAAATGTTCACCAAACTAAAACTGAAACTGACAACAAATATTTGAAATAAAATATCTTCTGCAAGAGCATCCTGACCAAGAGACTGAGGACTGCGGCATATATCAGGTGTTTGCCAGGACATGCTTCCCTTTTCTAAGTCACCACTCAACGAAAGCTTTAGCTATCTTTCAATTCTCCATCCTTTTATTTCTGTTCCACTTTCTAGGTGATAATGACCGCATCCCAGTGATCAGCCCGCTCAGGATTCGCTCCCAGCAACGTTCTGCTGTCTCCACCAACTGGCTGTTTCCCTTTGTCCGCTCCTGGCCCAAAGATAAGGTGTGTGTTTGTTTAAATGGGAATTAATTTTTCCTTCTATGTCAACATAAACTTATTCCTGACACGTTAGAGCAGCCTTACAGCAATGGTTGGTGATGTAGTTTTAGACAGAATCAGAGGTGACCAAATCAAGTGTTTCCACCTCCAGGTCTTTGTCCAGACACCTACCGCCAACTACACTGTGCAGGACTACCATCGCCTCTACTCTGACATCAATTTTGAGGACGGCTGGATGATGCAGCAGGACACAGAATCGCTGGTGGCTGACTTCACACCCCCCGGCGTGCCTGTCCACTGTCTGTACGGTGTAGGCATTTCCACTCCTGAAGCATTTCAGTACTCAGAAAAGTTCCCAGACGTGGAGCCCACAGTGTTGACCGGTGAGGGGGACGGGACGGTGAACCTGTACAGTGCCCTCCAGTGCAAACGCTGGATAGGAAAGCAGAAGCAGCCTGTGACGTTGGTTGAACTTCCACAAAATGAGCACGTTGACATGCTGCTCAATGTGACAACTGTGGACTATATTAAGAAAGTGGTGTTTTCTCCGTGATGCTGGCTGGCAGGCAGACTGCTCTGTTTGCCTTACACTGACACGCGGAGCAAGACGGGAACTGACGTCTCACCTGTCTGAACAATGATTGCCAAATATTCCCCATTTATGCCACAATGCTCAAGGAAAGTATTACGGTTCTTTAGGACAAATGTAGGTTGATATTTTTTTTTTGATTTTTATAGCTGTTACTCTAAAGTCTACATGCAAAGAGTTTAACTCTTTGCATGTAGACTTGCATGTGCTTTAATAAAATGGTTGATGTTTTGATCTTCAATGAGATTTCTGAACTCTGACTGTATTGTGGTAAAATTGTAACTAGTTAAAGCAAATACTGAATTTACAGCCTTTTCATTCCAGCTGATTTTTTTTTATTTATATAAATCCTGCCTTTTTTCAAAATTTCTTAGCTGTATATCGCTGGTTGTTAGGATTCATGTTACAAAAAGCGCGTGCTGAAGGATTAGACCCATACACATCTGATTTCTAGGTTTCAAAGATGGTTGAATTTGATATCTTCTTGGACTAAAGACTTCTCCTTTCCCTGATTTAAGCCTTCAAACTGTTCCTGAGGGAAGATGACACACTATTGGTCATAAGATGGAGTTTATATCTACCAAATGGAATTTAATGTTTTTAATTTGTGAAACCTAGGAGTTTTATCAGTGAAACTTATCGATTGGGTCTCATGAGGACAACTTAATTGGCTTACAAAACTCATAAAGTGGCCAAAGCAACATAAAAGCTACCCTAAGGCTCAGATTTACCAATCAAAAAACTCTTTGTGAGGCTGCATGTAAGGCAGAAAGTCAACTGAAGAATCAGTGCAGTCTAGACACCGGCCCGTAGGACACATGCTGCTCTTGCCATCCTGCTAGTATGGGGTTATCTTATCATTTAAAGGTGGCATTTCTGCTGAATACTAGAAGTATTTCTGGTTTAAACTTTAAATTTATATGTATCAGATCAGTGGGTACCTCAAGGCACTTCACACTGGAAAGTCAGCAGAATAGAAGTCCAATAATCAAACAATCCTTGATGAGCAAGCATTGGATGACAGTGGAGAGGAAGAAATCCCCGTTTAACAGGAAGAAGGCTCCAGGTTAGGTTTGCAAAAGCCATGATTTGGCTTAGAATAAAACTTTTTTTTTTTTTCCTTGGGTCTTACCTTCGTTTACTCAAACACTAGAGGAGTCTCACACACATGACACTGACTTCATAACTGATTGTTTACATTTGTGGGTTTAAACTTTACTCTGTGCAGACCTATCAAAGGGTCTGTTTTGGGTTTCTCTCAGAGGGTGAGCCCAACCTGGGCTGGCTAATCAGGGGAAGAGGGACCCCTTCTGTGTCTGCTACTGAATACACTGAATGCCATCATTTAAAGAGCTAATGCTTTTTTGAAATGCTAAGATGGTTTGTTCAGGACAAAGATTTTAATAAATCCTAAGACTTTTGTATATATCAGGACAGAATGATTCAATAAATTAGTTCTTGACACCAGATTTCATGCTCTGAAGCTTAATTACAGCCACCGGGGGATGACTCAAGACCATGAGATGGGTTTTTCTTTTGTGGATGTGAAAAGTTCAAAATTGGACAGTGTGTTCTGACGTGACTGTATTGTGCCATGCTGCCCCTCACCGGGCCAGACCAAGATGATCTACTTATTCACGTGCTGCCTTCTATTCATTAAATTCTTTCAAATATTTGCAGTGAATCCCTCTTGTATACCTTACTCTAAAGCTCTGTTTTATTTTCTCCATGTATGGATGTTGTTTAGGAAGATTAGGACTATGTGAATTATATGATCAAGTCAGGCACACACAACATTTGCTCTAACCACAGGAAGCCCCAATATTTCTGTTTGCCAGGGGGAGCCAATCAAAAATGTTGTACAAAAACAGGGAACTAAAATTAAAAAAAAAGGCTCAACTTTAAGAGAACTTCACTTTGACTTCATTCAATATGTGAAATCTAGATTTTGACATTTAAACTTCTTGAATATGAGTGAAACCAGTCGCTGAATTCCTTCCACTGTTCTGGTAAAACGTACAGCTGTGACACTTGAGGTTTCTATGCTGACCAAATCCACAACTTCCTTTCAGCGATTCAGTCATGCATATGCCATAATTCTTCAGCGCTCTCACCACTGTCCCATACGTAATGGAAAAATACAAAAGAAGTAACGGCTTTATTTAAATACATAAAACATTTCAATACTTTTGCAGTTAGCTGTGATTGTGTTCGTTGGGGCGTTTCAGGAGTTTTTAAAAGGACATTTAAAATGTTAGCAATTCAGTGAACACGAGTCAGAGCTGAGGTAACGAGTCTTCCTCATATCTGTGCAAAGACAACATCAGCTTTACTCCATTAGTTACTTCATGTTTTAGGATTCCAGAGGAAAGCGGAAAGTCTTGTTTCCCGTCCTGCAGCGAAGCTCCGAGCAGTCCAGCCTCAACACAAATGGTCCGTCTTCGTGGTCGTCTACTAGACTCTACAACATATTCAAAAAATAAAACAAATTCAGTTACATCTACTGCAGCTGGGCTAAAGAACCTGTGCTCTAATTTTGTTAAAACAGAGTTTTTATAACTCCAAAATGAAGGAAACTCTGGGTCTTCTGCTCCAGAAAGAGGGTTAACTTTAACTTAAATTCAGTCAGTTAAACTCAGGATTCTGTTAACCAAACCTGCTCGCTGTCGGGTTTCCTTCAACCCGAGTTTCTCTGAGCTCCCCTCTCATCAAGCCTGAAGCAGCTGACTAAAGCGTAACACCTTTTCATTTGTATGTTGATATTAAAGCACATACCAGAACAACTTATTTCACACATGACCAAGGACACACAGATCTTTGGACACGTTTGGATTAATTTTCCAAAACTCTAAAACTCTGTGGCATTACGGCAGCTCAAACAATTACAATACATAACTGAAATTTTCCCTGTTTAAATGAAGCATATTTAAAATACAGGATTACACTATATCCAATTTTATCTTATCAATAAGTAACTGAATCCTCCTTTTATCCGAGCTTCACTGATAACTTGTGAAAAGCCAGACTGCTGACCAATCCTTGTTTAGCAGATCCTTTACAGTGAAAGAAAACGAGCTGACAATAAAGTAACAAAAATGAAGAGAAACTGATTTTATGTAATTACTGCTTGGCCACTACAGGTTTTCATATCCCTGTCTGGGTATAAAGTGCCATTTCTCACAGACAGGAAATGAAAACGGTATATCAGCACTGATGTGTGACCCACTATTATCATAGTTTTAAGAATAATTCAAAAACATTTCAGTCAGACTGTTGCTTATCTGAGATATACTGAGTTTATTAATCACACCTGGACTTGGCTTGCTATGACAAGCAGACTGGGCCCTTAAAATCAACTAAAGAACTACAAAAAAAATCTAACAAATTAGGAGGAACAAAGAAATCATAAAGATAATACAAACAGATGTCAGTGCTGGGATTTAGGATTTAGGAAAAATCACAAGTTGTCCGAGTACCTGCAGCTCCTGCATGCACTCCTCCATCTGCACTGTCTGGTCTCCCACACACCAGGCCAGACTCACGTGGAAGGATGGATCCTATGAAACACATTAAGGAACATTATAGGCTCTTTCAGTGCTTTTTTTCTAAAGATGAGATGATAAAATTATTTTTCTTTTTTTAAATTTGCTGTTTGTTCTCTGATGTGTCATATTAAAGTCTCTGCTTGGTAGACACCACGCCTGCCCTTCGATCAGAATGAAGAGGCCGGTGCAACATAGAAGAACATCGCGCTCACTAATCAGAACCCTGCATTTAATGTGGCATTACTCTACTGCATAAAAAAATCATCACACAATAGCGGGTAAAGCTGCAGATTTGTTTGTGTGTGTGTTTAACTGACCTTGTAAAAAGTCTCCAGGCGAAACTCTGTCATCGTCCTGTCAACAGCTCGGATCAGATCCAACATCTGAGCATGCCCAGTTGACACTTCCATCCCCAGGAATGTCCTGCAGGCAAAACACACACACAGAAACTGGAGCAGCATACTTTTTGGCAGCAGATCTGAACCGTCTGTGCAACAATGACAATATGTGTAAAGTATGAGGACAGTTATGCATCCAGTTTGATGATATACTAAATGTTATGTTTTCCCCTAGCTGGCTAATCTGGGGTGGGTTTTATTTCCTTGTTGAGGAACGCAGCTGTGAGCTGCAGCAAGAGTGCCGCTAACTAAGTCACATATTTTGACTTTCAGCTGTCCAGGATCGATGTCTGTCCACCTTCAAGTTTAGAAGGAACGCTTCTTTAAACATTTGCTTTCGCATTCTAATCTTTGTTAGTTGCACAGTCAGCTCTTTACTTCTTTTTTTTTTTTATAATTGAAGTCTTTATTTGTTTTTAACATTTCACAACACTAAAACAAACAAAACAACCAACAAACAACAACAGAAAAAAAACAACAAAAAAAATATAAAATATAATAATAAAAAAAAAACAAACAAACTCAAATCAGTTAACTCAAATCTTTAAGTCATTCCCTTACTGAGTGCCTACACAAACAAACAGTGCAGCAAGTGTACAACATGACTAAAGATAATTGCCCTGACCAAATAAGTTCCAACCATCTCAGCCAAAAACACGTCCCCACGATTTGTCAAAACCCTCCCTATCATCATTAATCCTAGCCAAGAGTTTTTCATACGACACCATTTTCAGCATAGTTTCTTTCCACCTATTATATTCTGGAGGAGACGGTTCCTTCCACACACTGAGAATAACTCGAGCCGCTGCGATCACCCCCACCTTTATAACCACAAAGTCATATTTTGAAACCCCAGGTAATACTGACCGATCCCCTAATAAGCACAGTCTTGGTGACAGGGGTATCATCAAACCAATCCACCTTCCTATTTTGTCAAATACTTTTTGCCAAAAGGGATAAACTTTCCCACATTCCCAAATAGCATGCATAAATGTCCCTGGATCTGATCTACATTTCCAGCATACATTACTGGGACTAATTCCCATTCTATAAAGTTTGGATGGAGTGAAGTACCACCTGTGTATTTATTTATACTGAGTAAATTTACCCCTGGCCTCTCTTATATATTTATCAGAGAATGACAAAATTCTGCGCCAGTCTTCTTTAGAAATTGCACAACCCAGATCCCTCTGCCATATAACCCTCAAGTTTTCACATATCTCTTTTTTTGGATTGTTAAACAGTTTGTAGAAAACCGCTGCCCTATGTGCTGTACTGGACAATTCTAAAAACTCCACCACCATATTCGAGCTTTGAGCAAATTTTCCTTTGGTAACACAATCCCTTATTTGTAAATATTTCCAAAAATTATTTTCTCTTATCAAACCGTATTTTCGGGTTATTTCAGCAAATGACATAAACACTCCCCCTGAGTAAAGATCACTTATCCTGCGTATGCCTTTGACAAGCCATTCCTTCCAGAACACAGTTTTCCGCCCAATCCTTACAGCAATATTGTTCCATAGCGAGGCATAAGGTTGTCTTAGATGAGATGCTCCACACAACTTGTGCACCTCCACCCAGACAGCTTTGGAATACCTGAGCACTGGGTTATCATGAGAGTCTTGTCCATTAGTTGCCGCGCCCTGCGAGAGAACATCCAAAGGTGTGAAGGGGCTCGCTAGTTCCTGTTCGATCTTCATCCAGCTCAGCTCAGAGCCCGATCCTGTCCAGTATTTGGCCAGTCTTGACAATTCAAAAGCTAAATTATACAACTTCACATTTGGGAGGGCCATTCCCCCAATGTCTTTAGAGGCCCACATTTTCTTTATATTCACTCTCGGCTTCTTGTTATTCCACAAAAAATCTTTGATTAACTTCTCAATTTGACCAAATATGTGCAAAGGAATTCGTACAGGTAACATCATGGAAACATAATTGAACTGTGGGACCACCATCATTTTAATCACATTAATTTTACCCCATAGTGTAAGATTCAATTCACCCCATTTATCCAGATTTGTTTTTAGCTTTAGGAGGAGAGGTTCCACATTTGAAAGCATAATATCCTCCAAGTCGGGTTTTAATAATATTCCTAAATACTTCATACCTGAAGGTGAGTACTTAAAATTGAATGGAGTAACGCATCCAGAATGACATGATGCTGACAATGGCATGCCCTCTGACTTGTCCCAGTTTATCTTATAACCTGACAACCCTGAAAATGACTCAACACACGTGAGTAGCGCTGGTAGAGACTGCATGGGATCCGTCAATACTGCTAAGATGTCATCAGCATATAGAAACAACTTGTGTTCCATACCCCCTGCATGAACACCTCTGACACCCCTGTTTGCTCGAATAGCCAAGGCCAGCGGTTCCAGAAATATTGTAAAAAGCAACGGGGACAAAGGGCACCCCTGTCGGGTCCCGCGAGTAAGATGAAAAAACCCTGACACCAATCCATTTGTCAAAACCGCTGCCCTTGGACTTGCATATATCAGCTCTTTACTTCTAATGTTCACAGACATCTAAACGTTGATCCTAAAATCTACACGATCTCACAATCAACACCGAACCACGTGGAAGCGCTTCTGTGCAATTTTGTGGCTTTGTCTCGAACAAAGCTCAGCATGCATGTTTTATCAGTACACATGTCAGTGAGCTGGTGTGGATGTGCTGAAGCTGTGTAACGGTCCAAATACTTACAGTCTGACTTCTGTTCGAATTAA